TCATCTGCATATAGTATTGGTTTACCTACACTAAAGCATTCACAGATACTGTTTATATATATTATGAATAAGAGTGGGCCTAATACACTTCCCTGGATTACACCACTACTTACTGGTTTAGGCCTTGAGATGATCGAGCCAACTTTCGTTGTCTGACTTCGGCCATAGAGAAATGATTTTATCCAGCTCAGGAGAGGATCACATATCCCTAGTGAGCATAACCTGCTGACTAGCAGATTATGGGGAACTCTGTCGAAGGCTTTTGTTATATCGAAATGTAGTACAATTACTAGTTCTCTGTTGTCCCTACTTCGTGTAACTTCATTGAAAAAGTCTATGTGGCAGGTCACACATGATCTTTTTCTAAGAAATCCGTGTTGTGATGGATTGATAAGTTCATGTTCTAGTAAGTTGTCTGACACTTGGTCTTTAACCACTTTCTTCATTATTCGGGATATTACCGGTGTTATATTGATAGGTCGATAGTTGCATACACTGGTTTTGGCCCCTGCTTTGTACCTAGGTAATATGTATGTGGTTTTCCACACTTCAGGATAAGTTGCAGTTTCCAACGAGAGAGTAAATATTCTAAGTAACAAGACTACCATTTCCGTGCTACCATTTTTGTACATGACAGATGGTATGTCATCTGTTCCAGTACTACCATTAGACTTCAATGTCTTAATCGCTGAGTCTATATTTTGTATATTTAAGTCTATTTCGCCTAATTTGTGGTTACTTTTGCAGGTCATTTGGAAATTTTGGGTCGGGTGCACTCTGGCGTCATTGCAAAACCACTCATTGAGGAGTTCACTTATAACCTGGGGATCATTGTATATTATACCCTTATGCTCCAAGCTGCTTACAGTATTGTCTTTACCGCTTTTTAGACGTCTCTGCAATATCCTACAAAGTTCCTGAGTTTTGGAGTTACCCAAAAGCGCTTTATTTTCTTCAAGTTGTGACATCATTTTGTGTTTATCTTCAAGCCGTTTAAGTGTTTCATGTATTTGGTTTAACGCATTAAATTCCTTAAATATATGGTATTTCCTTTTCAATTTCTTTAGTTTTAGTCGCGTTTTGCGGTCTATAAATGGAGTTGGTGTCTTTAGAGCAGATTTTAGGGGCGCGATTATGTCTCTTGCTGAGCCAATTGTTTTGTAGAAAATATCAAGTGATACTTCTAAGTTATTGTTAATGAAGTATTCTTCCCAGTCAGAACTTCTCAGCAGATCTGATAGGAATTCCCAATCGGCATTCTTATAGTCCCTATTCTGATAGTGCACCGGGGAATTTTTAGGTGTGTGTTTAGTTGTTAGTCGGAGGGGTAGCGTGCAGTACAATATGTTGTGATCACTGTTATCAAGTTTATTTCCTACCTCTATCGAGATTGGCTCTATTTCATGACAAAGGATTAAGTCAAGAGTGCTTTCATTTCTTGTAGGGAGGCGTACGCACTGCTTCCATCCGCCTACGTCTATAGCTTGTAGTAGCTCGTCATGGATGGCCACATAACGGTCGTGAGACTTATTTCTGGTTGGAGCCGATTGGTAACGAGGTCGAATTCGTCGAAACAGCCAAACTGACTGGTTTTCTAGATAACCGTCCAGTCAGTTTTCATGAAGAAGAAAATGTGAAGGGCCCGTTAAAATAGAAAAAATGACGAAGATTTTAAGAATTTGAAGGATTAGCAAGGTGGGTCATGGGTAATAGTAAATTGTTACTGGGACTCAGTATGTTTCAACATGCATTCTGGCTTTTTAATAGACAGCTGTGATGTGTTGGGCGGGTGAAGACAGCTATCACACAGTACTTTCGCGTATAGTATAGCAAGCTGTGTAAGAATTGATAAAACGCCCCTAAAATAGTGAAGCGTAACATCTGATATTGTAACAACATTCATCTGAGCACAAAATCACAACTACCCGAGGAAATTCAAGCCGTTATTGGCCGCCCCCGTTCCACCTGTCCATATATATTGGAACTAGGACTCAGGGTGCGGTTACTCTTCCATAACTGTGTTCACACAAGTGTAAATTGGTATACAGCATAGGGTGTGACGTAATCACATGTCCACTGTTAAGGAGTGTGGCGGGGAATTCTTCTGACTTTTTAGATGATCATAAGCCAGACTGTGTGATAAGTTTCAAGAGTTATCGAGCTTGGTTTCTCTCTTAAAATCCTACTAATTAATTTCCCATCGCGAAGCCATTTGGTGTTGAGAAATTTCTTCGGGATATGGCGAACCGTAGGCTTTAAAGTTAACTGACCTACACCGTTCATAAACTTCAAAAGATATCCATTTTAGACAAGTAGATCCATGAATATTTGTCCTTATCACTCATAGCATCGGAATTACAAATGCTCAGAATCTTTTTTAATAAGCTTTTAATCAAGCCTCTATTGTACAGGAACTGGCAGAAGCTGTGAAGATTTAAACACTTTTCCTTCCAAGTAGGCTTCGCGTAAGTCGAGAGGTTTGTTTATACTATTGTCGGCCCAAAAGCTTGTTAGCTGCTAGCCTTTGGTGTGAAAAAATCATTCAGATAGATGGCCGAAAACCAGGAAGAAGTGGACAGTTGTTTCGTCCTAGTTTGAGACTCTTCAGAAGCCCACACTTACATACCTACCAGGTACTGAACCAAAGATCTTCAGATCGCGGAGCAAACTTATTGACCATCCTTCCTTTTGGGTCCGAATTCAGTGACTTGTGAATCCTAACTACATCAACTCATTATCTTAATACTAAAAGTATATCTTGAAATGAGAATTGGTTGCAACTCTCTTCCTCATATTTAAGACTGATGTTGTTGCATGTCCATTACGGGAATCGCATCTTCATACTTACTGCACATCACAGTCATATTGTCAATGTATCTCTTGCAAAATGGCACCTTAGCGATATAGACACCAGTCATGACGTTGCACATCAGCCAAAAGTGGTCACAAAACAATCCCGTCTACCTGTCGAAGATGGCCCTCTTCATATGTGAAATTGATATTAACGGTGTTTGAAAGAAACAGTAACTTTTTCGAACAGTTGAAAAGAACAAAAACAAAAGTGTGCAGGTGATTCTTTACATAAATCCTACATTGGAAGCTCTGTGGATAATAAGCATTTCAGCACCTAGATGCCACCAGATATATAGATAGGATTAATGAATGAAAGACTGTAAGCAGCTTGGATGACACAAAAACGACAGTCTTACTAGTAGGCTTTTGTTATAATCGCGGCCAAAAGGACTCTTTAGGGGCTGAGGGTCTTGAAGTTAACGGACAACGCAAAGTGTGCTAACGCAAGATCTAATACCTACAACTTCTGTGGCATTCTTTCCGCGTAAGCCAATGAAAAACTTTTTTCCTTCACTTTCCCCGGTGGAACATAGGGTTTCAAGCTAGTGGCTTAAAGTTTCTGTAGCAGTGTTTATTTTACAGGATGGGGTTGCTAGCCTCATGCCCAAACTTTTCTCTTCACCAGCATTATTTCTGGCTTCGCGAGGTAAAGGAGTACGTCGGCCGGGGATCGAAACCCGGACCATGTGCATGGTCGGCGAGCGTCCTAACCGCTATGCCACCGACGCAAAGAAAAACTAAAACACCAGAACTGATCGTTCAGGTTACGAAGTATATTTTGGGGTTAAATTGGAGTGCGAGGATGATTGCTCAACTAGCTTGGAATCGTGCACAGACAAACGAATGTAACAAGGATGCTTGACCGTTAGCCTTCAGCTAAACAAATGGAGTTAAACAGTGAGGGTTAGCATCCAATGTTCAGTGATGAACGTTGTAGCTAATAATTCTGGGGAATTACCTACCGCTACGACTCCTGATACAGAATTGAAGTTCGGAAAAAACTTACTCCTTTTTTGTTTAAGAGTCTGACAACTGAGCTGGCTGGTGACGCAGCAGCAAATGAATTTCTCCCAATTAAACCTTAACTCGACATAGTCGGGATTTTATCTACATTAAGGTAAGCTTCGTGATTAACTGTGAGTATTCATTCTGTGGTGTTTCAAACACCAATCGCAACTATAGAAAATAAGACAAATCTGTCAAATGAACTGGATGACTGAATTATATTAAGCACCAGAAGTTATTACAATTCACGAATACTTGAAGGTGCAGTCCCAGCACCACCAATTTCAACATGATTATTTGTAGAATTAAGCGTCGTACGCGGCAGGTGATTCTTCTTCACTGGTGATTCGTTGGACTGACTGTAGACATTTATTAGAAGGAAACTTCTTACCACATCCAAGTTTCTGGTTAGTTGAAGTCCGATGGAATTATCCTGATGGCTATTTGTCAACTTTTGACTGACAGGGAGCACGAATAGTTCAGTACACAGGAATGTGTCCAGCAACAGAAACTCCTAGGCCCTGAATTTTCTTTCAACAAAATGGAGTGGCTGATTGGCAACAGAACAACCACTAACAACGGCGATTCCAACAAGCTAAAAAACAACTTTCATAATGATCTGACATCCCGTTTCTACCGTGGTCCACTTGATGAGAGTTAGGTTGTTGTGGTGCTCTATTTGACTAAACTAGCGTACACGTATATCCTAGTACTTCTTTGCTTTTATTATTGTGTCCTAACTTTGTGATTACTCGACATCCACAACGTAAATCAAAAGGCACTTGAGAAGGAGTACAAACGTGTATTATCGCCGTAATCAAAATTCAAAAGTTGAGCGAGTGCCATGTATGAATTGTTAACACGCAATCTTTGGAGTGATAAACAAATCAAAGTCCAATTACATAGTGAAAGTATACTATGATGATGAATAATAAAGTGGGTCACTACAAGGTTAAAAGCTGACATGACAATTCTACAAGTCATCAGAGATCCGGTTCTATTTATCATCGTAAAAAATAGGCCAAGAAAATATTTTCACTAGAAACAATCAAGTGAATAGATACAAAAACTGGATGTAGTAAACGTTTTCTAAATTAAGGCATTTGTTTTATTAATCCAACTATACTTCTTTTTTATCGAGCCCTCGAAGAGGGTTTTTAAATGTTTTTTATTTTTTCGCGATCAAATTATGTGAACTGAAAATCCTAGACTTACGGACATATAATATACATTTGCTGCAAAAATCTACCAAGCAATATTTTGTGTCATATGGAGGTTATTGATTGCACCCACTCCTCTGAATTATTGTGATTTTCATATTAATCTAAAGTTTCTAATGAACTCAGTATATGTGATTTTACCCTATGGTATGGAAACAAAATGAATATAGAAAATTTTTATGATGACTGGAGATGTATTTATCCACAAAGCATAAGGAATGTATAGGTTTAACAATACTACGCTGTGAAAATACGCTAAAATTCTGCAAATCAACAGTAATTAAGATGTCTATTCCAGGAGAATGAACTACAGGAGCTCTGTAGCACCAGAAGACTCTTCGGGATATGTGGAGTCCTTGATGTCTAATCGTTCCAAATTTAATAGTTTTTCGGGAACAGATTTGGGCATTTCTCCAACCAACGAGGGCGAAAAGGAGCTTATCAGCTACTACATTGTAGGTGTATCAATGATAGGGGTTTGTTGCTTCGGTATAGTCGGAAATTTATTGTCTCTCATTGTTCTGACAAGACGTTCCGTTGGGGGTTCCACTACAAATACATATCTTATCTCCTTAGCCGTAGCTGATATGTTTGTTCTTATCGCAACAATTCTTACTGCCATAAAGGATTCTAGAAAGCCAGTTGCAAGCAAGTTGTCTTGGCTTGTTTGGCAAGATGCGCCAATTGTTCCACGGGCTTATCCATTTTGTCACGCTACGGCAGTATTGTTTCAAGTAAGTACCTATTTGTTGATGTGATTAATGTTGTTACTAGAGTTAGATGTTTGTAATAACATGCTGAAGTAAAGATGTTCCGTAAAATAAATTAACCAAATATATTATACGGTTGCGTACTGCTGTTACACATCCGACATTCTCTTCCATTCGTCATACAGATGCGATTCTGGTAACATTTTAACTTTTTTCCCTAAAGAGCTTCATTCGAGAATTTTGTTAAAAACTATTTTAGATTCTTTGCACAAATCACACTGTTTCATTATTGTGCTGTAAGACGAAAACCATTCCGTACGTATTCCGTTGAGTGAGGTTTTTAAACAGACGATAAATTATCAGAGCTTTTTCAGGAAATCAGACATTTATCTACTAATAAGTTTGCCTCCCAGTTGTCAAATTTTGGTTATTGGCTCAAAGTCGTTAAGTAAAGATACAGATTGGCAACCAGGATTCTTCAGAACAAATGAGCTGCTAAAGGAATTAAAACGTGATATTAGTACTTAATATATTGGATTCAGGAATTCGGAATTTCAGTTGTATGGTGTACTGTCCATAGCACTTAACTGTGTTAATAGGTTGTTAGTTCCAGTGAAGTTTTAAGTTTTTACATTCTACGTTTTGCATCGTGCAGTAAAATATAAATAAAAACAGGAGAAACACGAAACCGATTTTACTTTATTATTCTTGCAGTTATTTGATTTATGTGTTTCATTCAGCCTGAAGCTCACGACTGCTGTATCTAAGAGGAAATTTACTTATTCACAACAGCGCTAAATGCATTCCAACGAATATGCACAGATTCGAACAAAACACTTTAATTTCAGTTCTAGTTGACCAGTTTGTGCTATAAAATCACTCAAAGGTCACGATTGTTAAAGAAATAATAAGCATATGATGAAATCAACAGTCTGGAAGAAATAAAGATATGAAGGTTGCAGATTAAGATGAAGATAACATGTAAACGATTCAACCTCGGCAAAGCTATAATTTAATAGTGTTAATTCGCGTTTCCAGATAAACATCTATGATTTCTTGAGTGTACTGACAAGAAAGCCTGCTTTCCGCTGTAGGGAACATACTGGCGACTGAAGAAGAAAAAAGCCTTTCTGTTTAGATGTGATAAAATATCTTTAAATTTCACCGTTCTTTTATTATGATTTTATAAACCTACTTACTGTTCTGGCCTCTTGTGGTCAGATATTTCACCTTATCAGTTTAAATAATTGTTTCTAGTGGTTGCTTCATCATAGGTTTTCAGACCTTATTCTAGCTTCAATATGAGTCAAAAAGTAGAACTTGATTTCAGATAATGATCTTTTTGTTTGTAATTTTAGACAATCAAAGTCCCTTTTAAAATAACAATGGCCAGAGTTTTTTCGACCCTTTTTAATACGCAGTTTTTATTGGCATTTTCCCGAAATATATCGGAAAACTACTCAATAGCTATTGACTTGGATTTCCTATAGTCTGTTACGGCATTATTTATAGATCTGAATCAAATAGCTTGTTGTCTTCTTTTGCATATGCGAATGAATGTCTTTACTTTATAGCAGCAAATATACCACTTAGTAATTAAAACGTCAAAAGATAATTAAAGGATATTGCCCTAAAGCAGACCTTATATGATACATCTTGGTGTAAGTGGTTTGTTTACACAGACTCTGTTACTGTGAAAATCTAATGACCTTCAAAAACTTCATGGTTGGAATAGACTCGATGCCTTTGGGATATTTTTAAAATATTTTATTCTATATTCATTCCGAAAACTAATGAGCCCGTCGAATTTAATGCAATAGATTATTCGCTGTTTTTAAAAGTTGAAACTGAAGTAATATTTACCATAATCAGCTAACTTCACTTATTCAGATAAAGGGATAAGCTGTTGCTGTTGCTTACGATGTAGAGTCTAGCTTTATATTAATCAGCATTTAGCCTTTTCTACCTGACTTGTCTGCTTGTTTCATTCTTTCACGTTCTCAATAGAATATTAGGCTTCAAGCTAGGAACCCGAAGTTTCTGTAGTAGTGTTTATTTTTACAGGATGGGGTTGCTAGCCTCATGCCCAGCCTTTTCTCTTTACCCGCTTTATTACTTGCTTAGTGAGGTAAAGGAGTGCGTTGGTGGCCGGGGATTGAACCCCGGACCATATGAGGCGTGGTTGGCTAGGATTCTACCGCTGTGCCACCGACGCACACTCGTCTTGGTTTATATCATTCTGCAAATGGCAGTGGGGAACTTATTATGTCTTATTTTATGTGACCTGAGGTCTGTAAGTTAGTTATGCTAAGACTGCTTTGACTTGAGTTTAATAGATGATGGACATTATACCCATGAAATTATGTCCTATTTGTTATAAGGAAACTCACCGACTGGTTGTTCAGTCACTAGGAAACTTTGAGGGGATTTGAATCAGTCTTAATTATTAGTCCCCAAGAAATAGGTAAAGGGATATAGCGGAGAGAATAATTAAATCAGGAAATCTAAACAATCCATGTGATAAGTAAACAAAAACAAAACAAGAACCAGAAAAGTCACAGGATAATTTAAGCTCACTTTAATTATTTCACAGATTCTTTTCAATTATATATAACATGGGCGTCGGTGGCACAGAGCTAGAATGCTCACCAAGCATGCACGTGGTTTGGGGTTCGATGCCCGGCCGACTCACTATATTACCTCACCAAGCCAGTAATAAGACTGGTAAAAAGCGGAGGTTGGTCATGAGGCTAGCAACGCCAACCCGTAAAAAATAAACATCACTGCTATTGAAACTTCAAAGTTCTATCTTGAAGCCCTATGTTCCACTCGGAACGTAAAAGAATAAAATAATAATATACGACCTAAACTATATAAGAGGGTTTGGACATGCGTTTTCCGCGTTATTGAGAAGTAATTGATAGGAACCTTAAATAACATAACTCTGGAATGATGAGAGTTGTTACATAACTATAATCATTATCATTATTCCTATCGTTATTCAACAACTTACGTCATGACGGAATTATGTTACTTATGGTTATTACCAATTACTGCCTTACTACATGACAAAAATTTGTGTCCAAACGCTTTTGTAATTTATTCAGGTTACAGACAGTTGATAAAAGTCAGTGAGATAATAAAAATGAGCTCGTATTATCCTGCTGCATGTTCAAACTAGATTAAGGTTAGAGAAAATTGTTCAGTCACATGAATCCACAGTCAGTGCTTTCATAGGCTGCTCTAATCTTGATATTAGGATAAAACTTGGGCACTGGTAATTTGTGCTCAAAACGTCATCAGTAAATATTACTGTATAACACTGTGTGATTTTACCTCTAATGAAGTTCTGATCTAATCTCCTTAATTTCCTTTCAGCTTGACTCCTCTTACAGTACAGATTGAGGAATTTAGTGACTTGAAATACTTCATGTATTTTCTAGCTACATCAATTAATGAGACTTTAAAATATCAACTACCGACTTACCTTCGTCACCTTTACTACATCGTCTTGTTGCATATAACATGAGCGGTCATAAATCTGTAGGTTTTTCCAAATCTCTTGATTCCAGTGGCCGTTTCTGTTTGTTCTAAAGTGGGATGAAATAAAAAGTGCACAGTATACACGGTTTTTGGTATGTGTCCTGATATATTGTCGCTGCTAAAGGTTAAGCGATTTGACAAATGTTACATATGCCTCCTATGTCAGTGGTGAGTTTTTGTCAACAGTAGGTCTGTTTTATGTGATCTGACTTATAGCATAAGTGAAGTGGTGAAGAAATCCGGACGTGATATCCGGCTATCGAATAAAGGATGTGCGCACTGCTCAACAGTTCAATCTGTCCTTCTTTGCAGAGGTGAGACTTGGCTAACAAAAATGAAAGATATGAAGAGGTCAGCTGTCTTTCAAAGTGACTATTCGTTTGTTAGGTAGGGATAGGAATCAGTCGATAAAGTTTTGAAGATACGTCTGTCGAGACGAATGACATACGTGTTACACATCAAGTTCTTTGTCCAGAAGTTTAAGGTGATATAAAATTACGTTGGAAAAAAACCAGGGCTGTTCAGATCAAAAACTGTCATCAGTCTATCAAGTCTTTGGGCATTGATTTTAGCCATGTTGCAGGGGCAGGGACGTGCAGACTGCCTGGTTGTAGTCCTTGAGATACTAAGAATCACTGGCTGAAGACTGCCAGTGATATGACTTAATGTCGTTCTTGGTGGCGCAGATGTATGCAATCCATGTGTTCACTTGGATCCATCAAATTTTTATTATTCCCCCCGTAATTATTCTTCATTCTGTAGATTTCCGTCCATAATGATTTTTTAATTGTCTTTACGCGTGCTCCTACAAGGTGTGACAACTTGAAACTCTGAGTTTTTATGCAAATTTCTAAGTCTAAAATTCAGTTCAGTTCATCCAACCATTATTTTTTCTGAATCACTACTTGAAATGGATGTAAATTAGGCCTGTAGGACACTACTCAAAGGCTACTAACAGCGTTCAGAATACTCTGCATTTCATTATTGTCTTCGCCTAAAAACTGTGTTATCTTCGTTTATCAAGTCGGTGATGCCTTCACTTAGTAAGATCCAAATTGTCAAAAAGTTCAGATGAAATCACCTCTGTTGATTCATGTCATAAAATGAGGCGGAAATGGTGCGAAAATCGGAAAGTGAAATTGCTTTGGACAACCACTTTCTATGTGTTCTTGTGCATCTTCATGATTTCGACGAAAGTGCATCTCTTTAATGCGTATGCTTTCAAGATGCCGCATTTAAAGAAAGAAATTGTCACATTTTTAAAATATTACTCAGACCGCATGAAAAAAGTTTTATTGAACTAATAATACTTCTGAGATGCTTCCAAAACGCTTTTGGATATTCATATTTATCCAGACAATTCTTCCAGAAGAAAATCCTTTGTTCCCGATTGTCTTGATTGTTACACTTTCTAGTTTTATCAGTTGAACCTGTGAGCGGAAATAATTTCGGAATTTTCTCACACCATTATTATAAATACA